TCACATGAGATGCCACCATCAAATGTATTCTGCATTAAAAACATATTCTTGCTTTTGTTACATAACGCAGAAGTACCTTTTAATATTAATATGTTGTTGCTAGGTTTTTCTTTTGTTTCATTGGAATTTTCGGTTTTAGTTCTACATTTGAGGCAGCAAGATTGCATCTTATGCTCAATGCCAGATAAAATTAAGACTTAGAGTGCAAAACACACCGCGTGCAGAGCACCCCAAGTGCTAGCACTATGTAATGGCTTTACGATCATCACTGACACTAGGAAAATAATCAAACTTCAGAATAAACTTTGAAAATCACCTCCAGATCCAGACATTTGTTTCACAAACCTAATACAACAATACAAGCTGCAGTTACAACTGACTAAATATGATTAGAGGAGTAATTAATGTTTTTGGTTTGGGTGGTTGCACTCTAGATTAAATATATTGCTTGACAACACCACTCAGAGGAAGTTCAAACGAATCGAAATAATTATTATTGTCAAGTGCAACCCAATGCATTTCAGACCCATAGTTAAAATATTAGATATTGATGACACAATTAAATTTGCTAGAGATTTTATTTTGTGATGACTTGAACTCAGAAGATCCAAGTTCGTCTTTGGAAAAAACTCCAGTAATGTTTCAATCTGCTAGCAAGTGCAAATTTGCTTAACAGAATTGTCGTCGCGTTTCAGGTAGAGTTAACATTCTACCTCGAGTTCGAGAAGTCGACCGACGTTTTGGATCTGATCGCTTTGATGTCCGCGTCCTACCTCAAGCAGATGTAGTAATATGCTTTCTGCTATACCTGCTAACAAACTACATAAAACCCTGCCTCGGTTTTTTGATCGTCTCTTTTGATGTGGTCGTGTTATGCTCTCTATGTGTTCGCATTGTGGGCATTGTTTACAATATTTATTACATAAAACTGAGATGCTAGCGCCTAACACCAACTTTTGGATCCCACCTACGGTCTAATATAGGTAATACGTTTGCCAGTAATGTTCGTGCCAAGTAGATATTGCTGTTCCGATTGAACCTACGCATCTAGCAAATGCGGTTAGTTGTGCAGTAAATAGTTTCTGCACAAAATATTTTTTTATTTGATTTTCTTTTGATTTCTCGTTGCGTAAAAGCAGTTTTTCTGGCAGAAAGTTTTGTGCTTCGAAATCTATTTTTTGTGAAACTGCCCTTTGTTTAGTTATGGCTCTTGCTTGGCGTTTGGACCTGGTTATGTGACAAGTTTATCGCATGTAAAATTATTTCATTTTATGTTTTATTTGCTAAATAAAACTGAAAGTGTCTTACACGTCACACTTGAGCAGTCATTCTTCCTCGAACAGCGGCGATGTTATTAACGCATAAGGGTAATGTACATTAGCTTGAACAGCTCCTAGCATCAACGTCACTTCCATATCAGCAGCTAATACTATAGCTCGTTCAGAATGCTTCGATACGTCAAAGTGAAATATTGGATAAAGTACTCTAAACTCTTCTATTGAAATTTAAGATCTAGTATCAGTGTCTTCATCGCTTCCATCAGGTACATATATGCTCGAGATAGGTTTATGTCCGCTAATGCTGTAAAATTGCACTCGACTGTTCATTCCAGACACAGCTTTGAGTTTATTCTGACAAATATCCTCTCAACATCAAGTCTATCAAAAACATAATTATTTTGTAGCTGACGATTAAGTCGATTTTATTGTAGAAGCACGATAAATATATGACGAGGTAATTGTTCTCTCTGTGGGGTTGTCATCCGTCATGTGCTATCAGTCGAATTTGTTTAGCTCAAGATAAAAGTTTCTTCAATAAGCGGCTTAACATTGTTTTAAGTTCGATCAATTTTGATATTGATACGACAACTCGTGGAATCCACAATCTTAGTCGTGAAATCACAATCTGAAAATCAGCAACAGCAGCGTCAACAGTTCTCATCGGACAATCGCTTTGATCAGCTAAGTCATATATAAGAGTTTTTGTTTTCCCAAATACTTTGCTATAATCCCTACAGAATCCAAATATTGTAGTTAGCGGCAGTAACACTTTTTCTGTTTACATGGAGCTGTTGACCTGACTGCTCTGCCAGTGTTATTGTGATGGACGATATTTGATTTTCAACGTTGAACCGGTATTATATTAGTTGTCTAGTATTGACTTGCATTAGCGAACCTGGTGGAACATCAGAACTAGATATTAAATTGTTTGTCACTGGCTATCTCGTGCTGTATATGATCCCGATGCAATCGAGCAGTTTGTCAGGACAGTATAGACATCGTTGACAGCTGATTCCCTGCATGCCATATTGAAACCAAGCAGATCCATATTATTGTTTATTGAATCCGAGCAATTATCCGATTTTGTCTTATTTACTAAAATCATCAAAAATCACACTGAGTGAGACTCTCAATAGACAATCAGATACAGCGAGACTCAATATTCATATTGAATTAAGATTTGGATAGACAACCAGATTGAGAGAGATTATCGACAGAGAATTAGACTCAGTGAGACTCTCAACACACAATAAGATTGAGACTCTCAACTGACACCCAGGCAGAGTGAGACTCTCTACAGACAATCAGACTGAGTTATACTCGCAACAGTCAGACTAATACTCTCAACATTCAATCAGACTGAGTGAGACCCTCAACTAACAACCAGACGGAGTAAATCTCTTTACAGACAATCAGACTGAGTAAGACTCGCAACATGCAATCAGACTGAGCGAGACATTAAACCGACAATCATACTGATTAAAACTCTCGCCAGACAATCAGACTATAAGACTCTTGACAGACTATCCGACTGAGTGAAGATCGAGATAGACAATTAGCCTGAGTGAGTCTCTAGGTACATAATCGAATTGAATGTTACTCTAGACAGCCAATCAGAGTTCGACTCCTAACAGACAGTCTGACTGAAACACTCAACCGACAATCATACTGAGCGAGACTCACGACAGAAAATCAGACTATGAGAGTGAGACTCAATGCACACAATCAGACTGAGTGAGATTCACAACTGACAATTAGATTGAGGGAGACTCTCGACACAATCCGACTGAATATGACTCTAGACAGAGGAAAACTCCTAACTTACAAGCATACTGAGTGAGACTCTCAACTGATAATGAGATTGAGTGAGACTCACGACAGACAATTAGACAGAATGAGACTACGGGCAGACAGTTAGACTGAGTGAGAATCTCGGCATACAATCAGACTGATGGGACTCTCAAAATGCAGCCAGATTGAGCGAGATTCACAACCGTCAAAAGTGATTCATACTATTTCATAGCTAGCAAATGTAAATATGTGTCCGTATCTGGTAGATAAAAACCAAAATATATGATTTTCACCAAAAAATGAAAATTAATGAAAATATTAGGTGCATTCCTTAGGCTTTGTCACTTGTTTGCATATATTTAGACAAAAGCAATGCCATTAATGCACAGTTCATGTTGTTATGTTGCTGTTGTTGAAGAACCTAGAAAGACTCAGAAGAACCACCGACCCACGGGAAGTTACTTGCAAGCTTTCTCATTTACCCTCATTGACTGAGCCCGAGACTCGAACCCACACTGACAGAGGTGAGATGGCAATGATCCATAACGGTGAGTACTTTATATTACTTGGCCCCTCCACCATATTTGTGGGTTTTAAACGGTTGTGCCAGATTTTGAAAGGAAATTCAAACGTTAGCCATTCAGAAGGTACCTAGTTATAATCGAGATATTTTCAGTCAAAATTGTAATGAAAAAAGAATCCCACTTGTCAGTCGTCATACTTGACATATCACGACACAAATGCGCATAATTCATCCAGTGTCCTGTTGTCACTTATGCCTACTTATGTATACACTTATTTACGTCGATTACGTACTTGTGTATTTTAAAAGTAACATTAAACAATATCTGAAAGATGAATCTGATGGTTAGGAAAGACTAATTAGCACCACAAAACTCTATACATCAGACTGGTCTCTGATTTGTTAAATTTCAGAGAAAGTAAATAACACTTAGCTCAAACAAAAGTGTATGACACAGTCTCTTCTTGTTAGCAATATGGATCTTGACATTTTCAATAATAGGTTGTTAAAGATTAAAGGTACCCTGGTCTGATTGTGAAATAGTGGCTTAATGTTGGAGTGTCAGAATTTCCTGTCTTTGTTTTCAAGTCAGAGAGGCTGGATCCTACAAAATAGTGCTGAGGCACACATTTAAACATTAATTTTCATGCCAAATAAGACAAAATATTCAGGGTCAAATCAAAGCCTCTGACCGAATCTACATTCTTTCTACGGTGTTAGTCCGTGCTGTTACTTCGCCGTTGGCACCCTTGTTTGTAAAATGTTGAGATTGTTCGTTTATGTACTCGTGCATGCAATTTTTGTCAGTCAAGCCTCTCTTCTGCTATAATTAAACCATTGTTATATTAATTATTGATTGGTGAAGCTCGCTCAGCTAGATAGCTCGAGAGCAATTAGATGAAATACGAAGATATCTTTTGCTTCGTAATGGTGTTAAACAACAACTACAAGCGCGTCAACAAAAACAAGAAGAATTCGCAGAATCCGCAAAAGAATAATTTTAAACCTGATACTAAAACTATTAAAGGTCTTCTACCTGCATTAGAGAAAACCGTTGAAGCAACTAGAAAAATAGCAGAGCGAACTAAGAAAACAAAGAAGACATTGCGTAAACTTCCTGCTCAGCCAACGCGAGAAGTACCTGAAGGTACTGACCAAGCACGTGCTGAAATAAGTGAAATAAAATAATATGTACAGCAGCAAGAAATGGTGTTTTTAATTTGATTACTTAGCTTTAACAATTTTTTAGTCATGTTGCTACGATGTCTGCAGTGTAGCAGTTTATAATTATGTCTAGCACTGGGGCATAATGCCGCAGACATGTAGCATGATGTCCCACCCAGTTACATTATCCTGACACCATGCCGACCAGTCCTAACACTAACCTCTTAACGCTGAGTATGGTATGACTCAACCGGGCATCGAACCCACTACCTCCCGCATCCGAGGCGAACGGTTTAACCACTAAGCAACCGGAGCGATTAATAAGAAATAAAATCAGGTAAACAAAGATCCATATTCATGAATTTGATACATTTCCTCAGAGTTATATCGAATATTTACAATCTGTTAGATATTCAAACTTACATGAATTTGCTGCTGAAAGTTTTACATTTAAGGATGATTATCTAAAATACTATTATTATAAAGAAAATATAAATAAAAATAAACGGTATGCCTGCATGTCACGTATTAACCATAACATTGCTTCTGTTTGAGGAGAAGATATATTCTATGCAGGATATATCAATAAACTAAACAAATATGTCAAAAAATCAAGACAACTGTCACAGTCACTACCGTGACTTCTTGAACTAATAATTGAGGAAGTGGTATTAACACAAATACAATCGGAGTGGTCATTTTTATTTGTCTTAATAGTGACCCTAAAATTTTTGAACGACTAGAAGTCCAAACTGGTGGAAAAAGATCCGGTAATAATTCTCCGGAAATTTTTAATGAAGCAGCCGCTATTTGTCAAAAATTGTTTACATCATGGATGTTAATGTGTATCGGTCTCTCATTGATTAAGCTACCGATGATTATTATAGCGATTATAGAAACGATATAAAATAAATAAGATGATCACATGTAATGCTCAACGTAGATCAACCATTGTTAGGGTGATAAATTCGCTATTTCCAGTATATAAAGGAATATACGAAGATGTTGTTGATTGTCTATTCAGAAGAATAGCTCAGAAAGCTATACCAATTGCAAAACAATTAAAAATGAAAGCAATTCACTTTGTTCGTGAAAAAGGTATTATTGCTGCTGGCGACGTTGCCAGTAAAATATTCTCTACAATCAAGGATATACTAGCACAAATAGTACGACGAAAGTCTCAGCCATCAGTGATACTCTCCGCATCGAGGTTATGCCTGCAGATGTTAGTAAAATAATAAATCAAGCCTTAAATTAAAAAAATGCAGCGTTAGCTGATCAAAGAGAAAATATAGATCTGCTAGTTTTGATAGCAGGAAGTGGTCTTCGTATTAGACGGTGACCAATTATAACATAAATATGTTCAAATTTTTATCAGATTCAGCTATTGCCATGGATGCGCCAATTCTTAAGAATGTATCCGTGCGGGATAATCAATATTATTCTTACCATACACTACAGGCAAATGAATATGGAACAATTGAATGACCAGTTCGGGATACAAGCAGTTATAATTATCCCGCTGAAGCATTTACTGAAGTAGATGATGAAATAATTAAAAACGTATAATACTGAATATGTTGATTTTGGTGTTGGTTTCGCCAACTTTGCTAATAAGGCGTTTGTCGATAGTGCTACATATATCATCGACGGAAGACCAATTGAATCGATTCAAATGACGTCGATATTTGCCACAACTATACTAAGTTTTGCAAGAGACAGCGACGATTATTCAACACCAGCTAAAGATGTTTGCAAAGGATACTACAAATCACGTTGAATACAAAAGGTATAATATAAGACTACCTTGAAAGACAACGCTGACGCTGATGGTTCATGATGATAATCCAAATTTTAATTTTGGATTTACAGCACGTTGATATTATGTTGCAGGGTGGAAAGAGACGGTTTTATTGTGCAATTTTGCTGTCACATATTTTTTGATTTTGTAGATATCTCAGAAAGGTTATTTCAGGAGCCAAACACACAGTTGTACTCGTATGTAAAGCAACGGACGATGATGCAATATGGCAACCTGATGCTGTTTTGGTGTTTGTAAAGTAAATTTGCCACAGCTTTTTTTGTGGATGGCAATAATGACTCCAGTGATAACCAAAGAAGAACATTTACTCTCTTTTAATGGTCCACAGATGCCATTCAAAGCAACATTAATGATTTAATTACATTGCAGATAGCATCACAGCAAAGTGTGTTTGCACCGCCACATATATTGTTAGCTTTCCACGAGTAAATGATCAAACTCGTGGTATAATGATATTTGACAACTCGGTGTTTTTGAGGTTTCATTGAGAATAAATGGACATAAGAACCATCAGAGGATTTTATGCTGAATTTTGAGCAAACTCATGTGGTGCGTGCACATAATCGATTGATGTCGTTCGTTGGGCGTGATCAAGATGTTGAAACTGGTTTACAAACATCACAGCTAGATTATACAAGTTTATATTTATTATTTTTCGCATGGATCATTTGGATTTGTTTAGACAGTCCGTCGTTGACATACTCTTCCGTGCTAGTGTTACAAGAGAAGCTAGTGCTAATTACAGAGCAATCGCTGTTATACTCAGTGATAAAACAATTTTACTTAAAGGTGCTGGTGGACAGATGAGAGTATTTGATGTCCCAGTGGAAAATAAGATTGCTGATTAAAATTCAAGATTATATATTAAATGTCATATAATCAGGTCAATGTCAGTCTGACTCCTGATCAGATTAAACAATTAAAATAAACATCTAAAGAATATTGTTCAGCGAGAACAAATCACAGGTGGTTCAAATAAACTATGTCTAACAGAACGTCAGCTCAAACATTGCAACGAAGCCAAACATTTAAAGACCCGCATATGACTTAATCTTGCTGCGGGTGCTATCAGAGACATATCTAAGACGGGTGGTATATTTTCGATCTCGCCACGTTACCAGCGATAAAAGCCTCTGAAACCCCAGCTATTGCAAAACCTGTTGTGTTTGGAGCTGTTGGAACAGCTGCTGGAATGGCACTAAAGAAGGCAATTGGAAAAGGAATGAAAACATTAAACGGACTTAAGACTGAAAATGACTTTATCTCGGTATGGGAAATGGTTAAGAATTCCAGGGACTCGTTGATTATCGCTTTGTCTAGTTTTGATTTTCTCGAAGCTGCTGAGCTATTAAATGTAAACCATTTCGGAGGTGTCTTTATGTGTGATCAATTAGCACAATAAGCAAACAGCATTGAAACCGATATCATTAGTTTCGATATAAGCTCCGGTCCAATATTCATTGGGTTGCGTGCTTGATCGATCCACGTGATATTGCTTATTTCGATTCGTACGGACTGGCACCACCAAATGAATTTTTAAAGTATGTCAGCAGCGAAACAATCCCTGTCCAAAATATTCCAATCTGGTATTCAACGCCATCTACAAAACATTAACGGATCCTCCAATAGGCAGCCGTGAATGACTGACAGTACACTAATAAGGCTGTACACGAACACATACACACGCAAATACATGCTCGGAAATTATTATGAAGTTAACTATGCTACAGTGATAAATCATACACACGTTTCAGCTGAACAAAATAAACAAAATATTTCTGAAAATAATCAAGAAATGTACTCATTTGTGTCCCTAAAAATACAATGAAGTCTCATATTGGCTATATATTTTAACAATGACAAAACAGATTTCTAGTCTAGGCGAGTATTTCTGTCGCGATCGATTTAGTTGGATTTAATCAATGCGCCTGTATACATAAATTTTCACATTATGTCTGATGATTATTCAACGAGAGAGAGAGAGAGAGAGAGAGAGAGAGAGAGAGAGAGAGAGAGAGAGAGAGAGAGAGATTAATTATATATTCGTATGCTTTATCTATCTTTTATGTATGTCTATATGCATGTATACGCAATGTTATGATTGTACGTCTGTATGTCTATATGTATTCGCTATGTTATGTTTGTATGTTTGTATGTATATAATATATATGTTTGTATGTCTGTATCGTATGTACGTCTGTATTTGTATCTTGTCGGTATGTATGAATATATGTGGTATGTTATGTTTTGTAAGTGTGTTTTTTATTTATACCTGTCTATTTACATATTAAGGTCGGATTCTATGGCATAACAAAGGACATAACTGCTTGATTATTTTTTCATTTACCCAACTGTTATTTCCCTTCATGATATTACTTATTTTTTGTTGTATAGCAAATTTATCCTGTAATTGATTTCGAGCTAGATCATCTAGGGAAGGATTTAATAGATCGCATTTTCTTTGAAAACCCTTGATACAATTTATCTATAATTTGTATGTGCTTTGAGCCATCATTTTCTGTTTGTATTTTAAATATAGAATGGGGGTGGGGATTGAACATCAATTATCTGATATTTTTCTGAGTTAAGATTATCACTGGTTAGTATCAAAGTCTTCACTGTGATAATTGTATTCAAATATTTAATTAATAATTATTTAATTATATTTCCCCCCTTTGTAAAAGATTGGCAGAATTGTCTAATGTTCGTATACCAGTGTTTTGTGTTTTGGGCATGACTGCTGAAAATATATGATTGATCACAATTCCATCTTTGATCAGTCCATGATAACACTTGTAGACGAATCGATGATAAAGATATATTTTTTCCAACAGTAAGTATAAGATAACGAGTATTATTGGCAACTCAATTGACTGGTGTTTTCCGTCGACAGTTTCTGATTACACAATCACGAGTTTCCTCATAATTTGCGATGGTGGGGTGTTTTATAATTCATTTCGCTCCATTTGTATAATAATGTTATTTGTCTAAATTACTATTTTGAAAATCTGGCGCGATAGTCTTCGGCGGTTTTTATGGGAGTTTCACATGATGATGTCAGGTCCCGTTATATGTTTTGTCATACTATCGTTTCAGTTCTCTGTATATTTTACAGTCACACCACACATACAGCTGAGTTTCTCCTCGTACACCAACACTGCATCGTAACTACCGTTTTAGTCCTAGACTCCCTTTGCGAAACCTTTGCATGTGGTAGCAACATGATTCATTTACGCAGGAGTTGAAAGTCCTATAATTAACCACTTTTATTTATTCTTTGCTTATGTCATTATATACATAATTAAAATCTAATTAACCACGTATTTGTCTTAATAAAAATAAGGAGGATTTTGAGAGATTATACGCAATTAAACCTTCTAGAGCAAGATTTAATATTGACAGACTGTCGAAACCTAAATTTAATTGTTTGAAGCAAAAGGTCTGGCTTTGATGAAAAGCAATATAACTGATTGTATTTGTCAAGCCAAGAAAG